CTCACGCAGCACCTCGTACACCACAAACTTCCTGAGGGGGGGGAACAGGGCACAGGAGGGTCAGGTTTGGGAAACGTGGCTGCTCCCCATCGCTTCCACTTCTCCCTTGCCAGGGTGGCTGAGCCCACACTCAGGGGCTGTCCTCACAGCCACCAGGGCAGGAGGGGAGGACCTGGGCTGTAGGGTCAGCAGATGCTCCTCTGGCCCTGGAGAAGGGCTCAACCGAGCAAGAGGCACGCAGTGCCTGTCCCTGCTCATCTCAGAGCACAATCATCCACTGCTGCTGAAGGGACCTGGCTCCCTGGCCCGACCCTGGGGCACTGCCAGTGGGCACAGCCCTGGCACCCCCCCAGGGGTCTCTCAGAGCTGCCCGAGGGAGAGCCAGCAGCCTGCTCCCTGAAGAGAGAAAAAGGCGTACTTGGAAAACTGGAAGATGTCAAAGACAAACTTTTCCATCTTGATCCCGTTGGGCTTCTCAGGTTGGATCAGCTGCCCGGTAGTGATGTCCACATGCGGGATCTTCTTCTCGGCTACGTGGTGCTGCAGCCGCGGTTCGTAAGTGCTGCAACAGGCCAAGAAAGAGCTGTCACTCACCCGAGCAAGGCACGTCTCCAACCCCCTGGCTCAGCCCTGGCCTGCTGCGGCAGGACGGCGGCTCTGCCCTGGCCCCCAGCCGCCCCGCGGCACAGGCTGCTCGTCCCCGCGGCAGCCGGGAGAGGACGGCCCCGCACGCCTCCGCTCCGGCCCCAGCAGTCAGTGCTGGCAGCAGGAAACCTTATCTTAAGGAAGGGATCGTGCAAGAGAGGCGGCGTTCAGGCTACACGTGCGGGGGCCAAGGACCAGACCCCACGGGCCTCATCCCAGCACGCCTGCAAATAGCTGGAGCTCAACCAGCGGAAAGCAAGGCGCCGGCTCTGCTCGGCACCAGCGCTCCTCCTCCAGCACGCCAGCTGCACCCTGCCAGGCCCTTACTTGACTACATCTTTCAGGAAGGCAGTGGTGAAGTAGTGATTGGCGATGTTGCCCGCGTTGAAAAGCAGCCGCCCATCCGGGCCCCGCTTCTGGGCAGTGGCCAGGGAGATCTCGCTGTACTCCACCACCTGGTAGACACCATCCACTCGGCACACCACGCCAACCGGCTCCGTGGGGTTGGTCTTCTCCACCACCTGCCCAAGGGAAGCACTGTCAGGGAAAGATCCCCAAAGCCCTGCGCTTCAAATACATGCCCCCGTATCTAGCAGCCCCCGTGGAAGCATTTTCCTGCGGGGGACAGCAGGGATAGTGCAGGGATAGGGATGCTGGAGCCTTCCCAGGTGCTTCTGGCGATGGTGACTGGAGGAGGGTGAGATGGCAGGGCTGGGTGACAGGGTGTCAGGCTGGCAGAGGGCACAGATATTTTTAGCACCCTGCCCGTACATGAACAGCCAGCTTGCTGCACACAAGAAGGAGGCTGCTGGCTCAGCAGATCCATCCTACACCTGACCTCCCTCCTCTTCCTTGCACCCCACACAAGTCCCTCTGGGCATGGGACCCCCCCCCCCCCTCGTCACTGCCATCATGGCAGAGCAGCATGCAGGGCTTTCTCCTTTCTGCATGCTAGGGTTTATTTCCTCCTTCTCTTGCTCGGGCCAGAAGGAGGAACTGCTTTCCCTTTCCCAGCTCACACTCTGAAAACTTCAAGGCCAGCAGGCCCTCTCACCTGTTTGCCAGAGCCAAGCCCAAAGCAAACACAATCACACAGCCCCTTTGGCTGTTAATCCAGCCTTTAAGTAAAGCTTTGGGCAGGCAGTGTCCCACCCATGGGACACGGGGCCAGGCTCGGCGTCAGCAGTCAGCTGCACCCACTATGTCCTGGTCTGGTGCCCGGGATGTCACGGCTGGGGAGAGCTGGCAGCCTGCAGCAGGGATCCCGGCTGCCCGTGCTCCCCCCCAGCTCTTGGCACATCCCCATGGAAGGCAGAAGGGGAGCGGCACCAGGCAGGTGCCCCACATCCCCTGGGATGTCAGACCCAAAGGGCAGGCGGGACTCTGGCAAGATGTGCTACTCCAGCAGCGAGCTCCCAGTGCTCAGCTACCCCTCCGGGCCCTGGCAAGCTGGCGAAGCAAGGGTGAGGAGTCAAGGAAGGGGGACAAGGAGCGGGACAGACCCCATCCTGCCCCCAAAACCATACCTTGGCCCCACAGTCCGCTCCCTTCTCCAGGCAGAACCCGATGAATCTGGGGTCAGCCACCTTCACCAGGATGTTGTCCACACAGTAGACATGGACGCTCTGCACGCCCCTCCGCTCCATGTCGTCCACGATGCCGTGTGCCCCCAGGGCCCGGTACAGGCCCCCATTGCCGTCTGCAGGGGGAACAAACCCGTGGGGCCTCAGCAACACCCATCTGTCCCATCAGCCACCCACGCTCATCCTTCCTTCCCCCCTCCAGAGCCAGGGTGGAAGTTCACCAGCCCGGCCATACCCCACCCTGGGCCTCCCTGCCAAGACGGACACCTCCCAGCCTGCGTCACCCGTGGGTCACGTCATGCTGCGAGTCTGCCCTACGCAGGCTCCAGCTCCAAAAACTTGTCCTCAGCACCATGTCTCATCCCCACGCAGCCCTCACGCCAGCTCCCAGCTACCGACCTGGTGCCATAGCAATCTTGCCCTTCTCCTCCAGCAGGATTTTCCCATCAAAACCCAGGGCAGGCAGCATGCCCTGCTGGAAGAAGATGACATTTTCCTTCTTCAAGCCAAAATAGCGATGTTTCAGGAAAAACTCCTTGGTGGACTCCATAGTCCGGCCACTTGTCATGATGTACCTGTTGCAGCGCAGAGGAGACCCGATGAGGAGAGGCAGGGTCTCACACCCTTCATCCCAAACGTGGGGAACTGTGTTGGCCTGTAACACTCACGACAGGCTCCTTCTCCGCACAAGAGGAGGGACCTGCTGCGGTCCCACCTCTCTGGCAAGCCAACGAAGGGCTTCACCCCTCCTTGTAACATGCGTCTCCAAAACCCAACCAACACCCTGCGCAGTGGGGGAGACACCCAGCTGCAGCAGCCACCTCCGACCATGCCACCAACCTCCTGCTCACAGCACCACCGCGGCCCCTCGCCTGGCTGCCATCCCACACAACAGGTTGGCCGCAGGCAACAGGACACATGTTCCCAAGGGCCATGGGGTTGAGCCTGACAACGTGGGACCTGCCAGCATCCACCCTCTGGGCCTTGACCCGTTAACTCCAAGAGGCTACGCCCACACTAATAGTACCGGCGTCAAGAGGGTCTCTACCAGCCATGCTGCCAAAGGGGTCTGCATCAACCCACGCGTCCTTGGCTCGCCGACACCAATGGGGCGCCCACACCAACCCCCCAAGACCTCGACCCACCACGACCAACCAGCGGGGCTTCAATCCAGCCAACACCAGTGGGACAACACCAACCCACGGGCCCTTAACCCACCAACGCCCGTTGGGTTGATGCCAGCGGGGCCCTGCTGACACCAACCCACGGGACCGTGACTCCGCCAACGCCACTCCGTGAGCCTCGTCCCCGCGGGGGGCACCAACCCACCACGGCCGGGCGCTCACCAGGGGATGTGGCAGTGGGTGCCGTGCTGCTCCTCCGCCAGCTGCTGCAGCCGCCGCAGGCGCTGGGCCTGGAGGTGGAAGAGGGTCTTGCGGGAGGGCAGCCCCACGTCGCACATGCCCTTGGGGTAGGGGACGCCGAGGCGGGTGCCCTGCCCGCCGGCCAGCAGCAGCGCGGCCACGCGGCTCCCCGCGATCTCCGCCAGCCCTGCGCCCGGGAGAAGCACAAACACGCGTGGGGCCCACCGCGTCGGGCCCCGCCGCGCTACCCGGCCCCCTCCCCGCCCCTCGCTGCACCTACCGCGGCTCTCCCAGCGCGGCAGCAGCCCGCGGTCGCGGGAGGCGCTGCCCAGCACGTCCCGCGGCACCGGCTCCATCCGCTCGTCCATCCCCGCCGCCGCCCCGCCGCCGCCGTCCCCGCGGGCGCGGCGGAAGAAGCGGTTGATCTCGGCCACGTCCATGTCGCGCAGCTCCGCCGCCAGCGCCCGGCGGGCCGCGCCGCCCAGCTCGGGCCAGAAGCGCAGCACGTGGCCCTGCCCGCCCGCCGCCAGCCGCTGCCCCAGCGCCGCCGCGTCCCCCGCCGCCTCCATCCCACCCGCCCGCCGCCGCCGCCGCCGCGCCCCCCTCTCTTCCCCTTTATAGCCCCCCGCCGCCGCGGGGCCGCCAATGGCAGGCCGCGCCGGCACGTCCCGTGCCCTCACTGGCTGGCGCAGCACGGGCGTCACGGCGGCGGCGGCGCCCCGCGCCACGTGGTGCCCACCTCCCGTCCAATGGCCGTAGCAGCCCACTCTCCCGCCCCCCGGGTGCGCCCTGCCAATCGGAGCGGCCGCGCGCGCCGGCCGCTGCCATGGCGACGCCCGCCACGTCAGCGCGCGGCCCCGGGCCCCTCCGAGGCGCGGCGGGGCCGTCCCTCCGACCCGCGGGTGGGGTGGGAGCCACGCCCGGGGAAGGGGAAGCGGTGTCCCGTCCCCGCCCAGTCCCCAAAACGGGCAGGCGAGGCTCGGGCAAAGGAGGAGCCCCGCACCTCACCCCACGCACCGCCGGCGAGTGCAGAAAGTTGTGCAACCCGCCGCTTCTCCCGGGGGAAGCGGCCCGCGTCAGCCTTCCCGCCGGATGACGCCATCGCTCCGGACACCGTTACGCCAGAGCAAAGCGTGGAAAGCGCCCGCTGTGAAAGCGGTGCTGCCGCAGGAGGCGCGGCCCTGCGTGACGGGGAAGGGCCGGGGGGCGGGTGGGCGGTCACCCCAGCGCTCCCACTGGGATTTTTCAGCCACGCTGGCGCATGGGGTGACAGAATCCCCACACCCGCGGGTGGCAAGCACAAGGTGCCAGCGCCGCCACGGCTGGGTCACGGCCCTGTGTCGTCCCACCCCGGCGCAAGGCAACAGAGAACTTCACCCACCGAGAAAAGCGTGCTGGACAAAGCGCGTCGTACTGGAGCATCGTTTATTGATCACCTGTATCAAGCACACATCTGCTCAGCAACGGTGCGTGACGGGACACAGCGGCTGACATCTAACCCGGAGGGAGGCACGTGGTCACGGGGTCCGGCACAACCGGGGGGAAGGGTACGGAACGCTCTGGAAAGACAACCCGGCTGCAACGCGGTGCTCAGGCCTGGGTGGTAGGAGGCTGGAGACCAGCGAGGAGGGTAAAATTAGGAATACAACGAAGATCGGAGCTGATTTGTGCTTCGGCCGGTCATTTAAAAACCAGTTACCCTCCTTGCATATAACAAATAGGCGGAAGTGCAAAGAACCAGCTTGCTCCCTCACAGACACTGGTGGCAGAGGAAGGACAGCTGCTCTTGGGCTGGCAGTAACATTTCGTGCGAGATCAGCTACAAAACCCAACTGCCACCAAGGAACAGCAGAGCACCAACGTGTTTCCCATTCGCACACACGCTCCAAGGGGATGCACCCAGCCTCCTGGGGAGGAGGGCTGGGTGCCCGCCCTGATCCCACCGGAGCAGCGACGGCCTTCCCAGGCTGTCTCCAGAGGTTTCATCTTTCATCTCCTGCCCCCCCCCCCCCAAAGCAGATCTCTCCCTCAAAGGCAGCCTGCGGGTGCAGCTGGGACTATGTAGGTCACGGGGCTGTTGGGAGGGAGCTGTGTCAGCAGCACAGACCAAGAAACCTAGCGAGCATCTGAGTGGAAAGCCTCAACACTTCTGCAACTCAAGCAGGCAGTAAAATCTGGAGATGAGGAAAGCCAGGCCCATCCAGGCACACACGACGACAGATGCCTTGGATTGAATCACTGTGCACACTTCAGATACAATCCAGAGTTAAGAAACTCACAGGTTTTAGCAGGGCTGAAACTTATGCCAAGCCGCCAACAGATCGCCGAGACACCAGAGTGAGCTTCAGCTAGATAGAAAAAGGCTTTGAATGCAGAGGGTTAGACGTAATGATTAAATGCTTCTGCTCTGAGGGGGGGCTTCTAAACCCCCCTGTATCCCGCAGCCTGCAGAGGGAAGCCAGGGGCTGGATCCAGTGATGGGACAGAGATCAGTATCTTCAACTCTTGCCAGGAAGAAAATAATTAAAAAAAAAAAAAAAAAAGCAGCATTGGGGGTTTTGCCCATCTCAGTGCTCAAGCCTGGTCAATGAGCATCTGGAGAGAAAATCTGGTGGCAGGAGTTTGCATCTTGAAGATTTATTTAGTTCTCATTAAAGCAGCTGAACAAAACACCAACCAAACTCTGGTAGAACAGCCCTGCCATGCTACAGGAACAGGTTGTAGCTCCTCTCTATAAAGATTAATCCTGGCATGGCTCTTTATCTTAAGTTGCAAATCCAAAGCATAATTCTGACTGAAAAAGACATACGCTTGAAAGATGACAGAGCTGCTCATAGTCCCAGAAAAATGCATGGGAGAACTTCAATACATTTAAGTTCTGCACCTGCACCCTGGTATCTCCCTGTCGCAGTACCACTGTAGGTGACAGACCCCACAGCCAGGGGAGCTCCCCGTGTCCCCACGCAGGCTGGCACTCGGCAGGGCAGGAGCTCTCAGGTCTGCTTCTGCCAGCTGATAGGCCCACACGCAGCCAGCCTAATGCTGCTGACACGAGGGCATTCAACATGGCAATTTCTGGGCCAAAGTCTACTCAGCCCGCCAGGGCCAGCAACAACTCAGAGCTGAGGAGGTCAGTCAATACCTACCAATAATTAGAATACTTTAAACAGTGCTCTTGACATAGGAAAAACCCTCACCCAGTCAATCATTCAAATACTCCCAGACACTAAAGGTGCTTCACTGCAAGGACAGTTCAATTAAAAGCAATGAATCACACACCCCACCTATGCAAAGCTGCTTTACAGCAATGTACACCAAAGTAGCATCATTCCCAGAAAGAGTCTGATCAGAAAATCACACCTTAAAACTCATTGCTGGATATCTTTTGTTTCCTGGAAAACCCACCACCTTAAAGGTAACAGGAAAAATTCAAAGAGATTGGTCCTTTCTGGGGGAGTTTGGGAAGGTCCACAGTAGACAGGACTCTACACCAGCACAAAGAGGAACTCAAGACTCAGGATGCTGGATCTCCCGACGCACCACACACGCACAGGGCAAAAATCAAGAGGAACTTAAGTGCAGGATTCCAGCAAGTCACAGAAAGTAAACTACAAGGTAATTCAGGTATTATTCCGGGGAAGGTCAGACATGGATCAGGCAGCTGCCTGCAAGTATTTCGGCTGGAGAAAAGAAGTCACGAGGGCTCTCCTCCTCACTAAAACTAGTACCAGGGCCACAAGCCAGAATACGCTGCTCCCCCTCTGAGTAGGGTTGTTTCATGCTGGGCTCGACAGGAGGTAAGTGCCCACCCCTGCAGGGAGAGGCTCCACTGGGCCTGGGGGTTTGCAGGCCCCGTGCCTGCGGCTGCTCCAGCGAGCTTCTGCCTGTGCACTGAAGCCATGTGAGCAGAGCGTGCTCTCGGGGGAGCAGTGATGCTGCTCGCCCAGTTGTTTTTTTTTTTTTTTTTCCCCAAAAGCATGTGGCTGTTGTCCCTGACACTGGGAAAGACTTTATCCTGGCCAGTCAAGTCTGATGACTGACTGAGCCCTTTCCATACAGGACCTCAGATTGCCTCAGGCCCTTTGTGTAACCTATGAAGGACCAAAAGTGTCAGTGCTTCTAATCTACAAGTCTAATGGGTTAATGCAAAACCAAAACGCACAACACAGAAAAGCCAAGCGTGGGACCTACGACAGACAAATCTTTTTCTTTCTTGTAAGACTCACAGGACAGGGGTCCTGCTGAGACACAAAGAATACTCCGTGCTGTAGCACTCCTTTCCAAAAGTATCACCTAAAGGCGCCTACATATTACATATGATTTGGCATCAGAGCTAGGGAGCATCAGTGCCAGCACAGGGTATATGCTAGAAAGATGACTCCACAAGACAGGGTTTTCACATCACCTCAGGCTACAAAGTGCTTACAGGTTGTGTCAGGACTGAGGCCGGCACTGCTCAGAGGACATGTATCCACCATCAGTCCCTCCCCACCCCAGGCATACAAGCAAGTTCAGCTCACCGCAGGCAGCACCACCCCACCCCTCGCTGCCTAAGCCCCGCACGCCATCTGGGCCAGGTCAGACAGGTGGCTCTCCTCGGGTCACGGGGCAGCGACGGGGTAACGCTGTAGGCTCAGCAGATCTGACCTCACCGCCTCCCTCTGCTCTACGTGATGTGAAGACTCAAAAGTCCTTCTGGTCTGGTTTAGAGAGGATGGTGCTTCTGCTTCTCTATTTATTATAGATATCAACAAAAAGCAGGGGAGCCTTCCTCCTCCTCCCCTGCACTGGAGGAGAACACATGTGTGTTATAGGAAAGAAATCCTCTCCCTAGAGCAAAGTCAAGCGCTAAGGCCAAGACTTTAAACGGTCTCACTTCAAGCCACTTACAAGCACTTGCCAAGATCTGCTCAGCCTGCCAGGCTCCCACAGCCGCCACTCCTGCCACCCGAGCGCCCACCGGGGCAAAGCCACACACCCAATGTAAACGAGCAAGCACAACACACACACAAGCACACGCCGAAAGCCATCCCGGCCTCCTCTGCACATCACAAAGCAGCAGTAAAGGTTTCAAAGCCCAGTTAAGTCCTTTGCATCTCTCCTTCACAGATGACTCAAAAGCAGGGCTAGGAAGCTCTTTTGTACATTCAACTGTAAAACATGTGAGGAAGAGGAGCAAGACAACTCTCCTGATTGTTGCTACTGCCTACAGCAAGTTTTGGTACAGATATCCTCTCTTATAGGCACTCAGTGGGTAAAACGTAGCCACAACAAACTTGCCATCAAAAATCTTTCCAGTCAGCATTTTTTGGGCAGCTTTGGAATCACCAGCATTTGCATATTCAACAAAAACCTGAAAGAGAGAGAAGAGACATAGGACTTCCAGTGCAGCTTGCCACCTGCCCCCTCCCATCCCTTAAACCAGGGAAACAGTTCCCAAACAAATTTTTCCCCCCTACCCTTGGTTGAGCCCAAGCAGTGGGGCTAAAAAGGAAGGAGCTGCACCTCTGAACTGGAATTTCGTCTCTTGCTCCACATTTCTAAGGACAGCATATTTGGTAAGGTGGAAGAAAGCATGGTGGTGCTCTACATCCTCAAACGTTTCATCTCCCACCCATTGGCTTCTCCTCTTCCCTCCTGTATCCCAGTTCCCCCGATAAAGCTGTTTGGGACCTCCCAGGTTAGGCAGCCTTACATAACCAGGAAGGAACCTGTGCTGTCCTTTAAGATAACCAGCTATTTTTAGCACTGTCATCAGCCAGGGGACTGCCAGGAGCTGAGCAGCAGTCCTGAAGCACATGGAGTGTACGTGGGAATACACAGCCTCTTCACTCCATTCACTTACTTGGCCTTTACCAGGATTCTCCTTTGGAATAAGCAAGGAAACCACCGGTCCGTATTTCTGACACTCCTCCCTTATGTCTTCCAGGATATCTGAGAAAGGAAAGAGCTGGTTGTCTTTCACTTTGCAAACTAGGATCAGGCAAGAAACAAATGAAGGCCAGATGAATGCATCAAGAACACTCAGTCAACATAAACCCTTTTCCTCTTGATTTAAAATAAACAATTGAGAAGCTGACACTGCTTAATGGCTGCATAACGAGATGAAGTGTCTGAACTGAGGCTCAGCAACACAGACCTATAGGCATTGAAACGCCGACAACAGGGTTTGGAGCACATGGAGAAAGCCTACACACAAAGCCTGGCCTTCCAGTAGCTAAATCATTTGGGATTTGCGAGTGCTTTTTTTTGTTGTTGTTATGGTGCTCGGAGGAAGGGAACTAAAGTAGCTGTCACAAACCCTTCTTTCCATGAGCAGAACCCAGCCTTTTAAACTCATATCCCCAGAGATCTCTTAGTTTTTGCCACTCACACAGATTTGAAAGCAAGCAGAAATGCAAATTCCACTGACACGCCTTGCCACCTACCACGGATAGCTTTTGCTACAGTTTAAGAACTCCAATTAAATATTTCAGTTCTCTGCTGCGATCTTGCATAAGTTCTTTAGCAAACTTTTAAGGATCTCTGCTACTAGGCTGCAAAGTCCCGCACATGTCCAGTAGAAACTCAGAGCCACAAACACATTATGAGGTCTGTGGGCATTTAACCAAAGAAGAAAATCAAAACAAACTTTTTTTTTTTTTTAAATTTGCAATCCTTCAAGAACTCACTACGAGCTCTGCTTTCTGTTGCAATCTCTTGGTCTATTCTCTGTTGGTGTAGCTGACCCACTTGGTACCAAATCTCAGCTGAGCAGCTCTTTGTTTGCTGTTCTTGTGCCTATTAATTGCTCTTTTGCTTGCTCTTTCATCCCCAGAGCCAAACAAAACAGAGCCTGTAAAACAACGTTGCTATGTGGGAATTGCATGGCTTGCACCAACCTTCATATTCTTCTTCGCACTGCAGAGAAGCATCGCTTAGCACATTTAGCAGCCTCAGCACAGGTGTGGGGAGCATCACCAAATCTTCGATATGGGGAGCTGTTTGACATCCACAGGATTAGAGAAAAGAAAAAAAATTAAAGTCCAAAGGGACAAGAAAACAGGAAGTTGACTCAATATGCACTATCATACACAAGCACTTACTGCTCTTTGCAGTGCAGTTTTGCGTCTCTCCATTATTAGCTGCATTTACAGCCTGTATTCTCCCTGTTTCCAAATTATCTTCCCCTGTGCACTGACTCTTCCAAAGGGTTCAGTGCACTCTGCAATTATATTGAGGCCAGCACCTGAAATAGCTTTTAAAATTACAAAGCTAGCAGAAATTAAGACTAGAATTGTATCTACTTAGCTCAGATGCAGAAATTAATGTGACCTCAAGAGCTATGCTAGTTGAGCAAATTGCCCCATATATAATGGAGATGCAAGAAGATGAAAGAACTACTCTGCAACCTGCCTCTCCTGTTACTGCTACCAGACAAGCTGAAAACAGGCTGGCCAGCCTTTGTATCTCCAGTTCTTAAACTATACTAAGGTGCAAGCCTCAGCTCTAAGATATCTTTCAGTTCTTCCCTAAACACCATGTAAACCCTCCCCCCTTCAAAATTCAACTTCAGTGCACTGTTTTGAAGATCACCAGGGCAAAATTAGATACTTAAAACAATGCAGTGCTAGAGAATAAGGTGCAGCCACAAGAGGGTGGTCATAAGGTGGGTAAGCAGTGATCCTGTGAACAACTTTACCAGAGCAGAAATAAAGCCTGCTGCCCTGGGGTGCTTGGCTCTAGAAAACAGGCAGCTCCAGGATGGTGTGAACAGCATAGCATGGATACTACTGTGGAAGAAGGAAACAGTCAAGGTGGGCAGACTAACGCCAGACTATGAAAGTCACATCTGACAGGACACCCAGCCCTCTAGAAACTCAAAGCAGAAGAGACAGCGTCACCTCTCCAGAGACAAAAGCTTGATTTCATGTTCCTGAAAGGAACTGGCAGGCCAGTCACAAATTTAAGATCTGGGATCCCAACTTGCAGTAGCTGGGGAGTGTTAATGGTTTTATTTGTATTGGCAGCTACAGTAGCCTAACACAACAGCACTACTTCACAGTTCTCCCACTTGACAGAGAGAGAAGGCAGAGAAAATGGAAGAAATGGCTCCAGTTCTCCAGTCTGTGCCTTCTGACTATGTGTGCAAAGATAGTGGGCTATTGTTTCCTTGGAATTTTAGCTTTTCCAAGCTAAACACACAATATGTATGAGGGAGCTGACATCTCTGCCAGAAGCAGACAGGTGTAGATTTCATAGTGCAATAGGGGACGATAGACAAGCACACACACACTGAGTCTGCTGCCTGACATCGAAGAGTCCTTATGAAAAGCTTAGAGTATGAAAAGCCTTATCAGTCTGGATGATGTCCAGACAGCACTCAGGGACAGCCCTTCAAAGAAAGGTGCTGCATTCAGATAACCAGGCACGTTCCAGCCCCAAGCAACCTCTGGAACCATTCTTCTACAGGACTGTCGGGAACCAACAGACACCATCAGATGAACTGGGGACTGAAAAAACATTTAAGTGCCACCTCAGTCTTATATGCTGCTCCTTTTATACAAGTAAGCCTGTCCTTCATTTCACATGCCTCTTTTCAGAGAGGGAGACAAACCAACCCCTAGGACTCAGAGCCACCTCGTCTTCCTGTAACCAAGTGACAAATGCATTTCTTGCAATAACCTTCTGCCCTAGGTGCTTTCTGCCCAGCCGCTCTGCTCCTCTTCGAAGCGTCAGGTGATACCAAGCACACTAACAACACAGAGCCTGCAAGAGGCTCAGGGAAGAAGTCGATGAACTGGAAAGTCAAGACTTGGCTGTAAGTGACAAGGAAAGCCATTCTCAGCTGTCTTTGCTCTGAACAGAAAAACCATGTCCAAGTGAAAGGCAATGACAGATCATTTTCTGACTTCCCAGGAAGGCAACAGTAAATGCTTCTTTGTGCAGACAAGCGTATGTACAAGTTTGGCAAAGAGGAGAACCAGCAAAGAGAACTAAGAAGAATTGAAGCTGTTATATAAACTTGTAGCACTAACCACAGAAGCACCTTCCTACGTACAGTTAGAGGTCTGTGTGTTTAAAACCAGACCAGAAAGCACTGCCAGTATACTATTCCCTCTGCTCTAAAGCAATACTGGCTGCAAGGTTCAGCCACGGAAGGTGGCTCTGATTACAACAGTCCCAGTTTCTGAGATGCAAGAGAAGTTTGAAAACAGGAACGAGTTTGTTACCTTTGCTTAATGCACAGAAATGCCAGTATCTTGACATGATCTCAAGAGGCAATACGTAAAAACATTCACTGCAAGGTACACCAAGCAGCTCAAAAAAAGCAGGACTAAGATTCAAGGGAAAATGCTAGCCCAGTCAGAAGCTGGATGCCTGAAGCAGTAATTTATGCTGCAGAAAAGCTGGATGCAGAGCTCTTCACTGGTGTTCTTGAAAACAGACCAGCTCTGGAAAACGCTACCATGTTGCTTTTGGAACAGAAAACAGGGAAGGATATGAGCCTAAACAGGGCACTCTCTGCCCAACTATTGCTGATAGCCTGCAACCAACATGGACAGGGATTCTGGGGAAACATGACCATTTTATTAAATTGAAGAGAAAGTGCCAGATGAAAGCAACAGTGACATCTGTCCATCACATGCCACACAGGCACCAGAAGAAGCAGGCCAGTCACTGCAAAAATAGGCTTGCACCAGGAGAACACAGTGGGACTATTTGACCTGTGCAGAGAAGGCAGCAGCAGATGCTACCACCAGCCACTGCCCTAGTCACTCACATTCCTAGTTTCAGAATTGGGAAACACTTGGCATAAGAAAAAACATCCACTCACCATAAAAAGCACTGCACTCTTCAAAAGCACCTTAATGGTCACAGTATTAGGTAAATACCTTGGTTATTTCTGTCCCCTCGGGTGAATGCTGCTGCCAATACAGTGTTGGTCGGTTTGATCTGGGCAGAATTTGACTGGGAGTCCAACCAGGGAAAAGTGACAGCCCGCAGGGCTAAGAGGGGCAGGGCAGCACCGACGGCACAGGCATCCCTCTGACCAGCCTGCCATGGTACCACAGAGGGCTGGCGAGTGACACAAAGAGCAAAGGAGCAGCAACGACCCCAGAACCAGAAACAACACAATTTAACTGCGCTCTGTGCTGCTTCCAGTACATGCTGAGAAAGCCGTGAGCAGGGGACAACGTGCACAGCTTACCAAAGGGAATGCTGAAGAACGGGCTGCATAAAGCCTTCTCAGCGGAGGCTCGCTTTCCTTGGTCACAATGAAGCATGCTGGAAGAGAAGACACCCTTATGCTCTTGCATGTGACATTCCTGCATCAGCAAATTCCACTCAGGCCAGTACAGAGAGATACCCTACCCTTGGGGTGCTTATGGTACAATGAGAAGAGAAGCAAGTCTTCCAATTTGCAGCTGAAGTACACCAGAAGGATCCCCTGAAAGCATTTTGAGTACATGGTACAGTAGGCTCTCCCTCTCAGTGACTCTCAGCACCAAATGTTGGAAGTTGCTCACTTAGAAGTTCACAAGGAACACGGTATGTTCCAGCTCCACCTCCCCAGGCCATTCAGCCCCTGTCTCAGGCACACATGCCATCTCATGAAAGCGAACACACCAAGGAACTCCCACATCTTTCCACAAATGGGATTCAAAGCAGCTAATAGCCCAGAGCTTGCCCGAGAACATCCCCTACTTGGCTTTACCAGTGGCTCCCAATGCTATTTCTGCCAAGTTGTGTCCTCATTCATCCTATAGCCTCAGAGCAGAGTCACAAGAGAGCAAAAACAATCCTCTTGGGAGACCTCTCAGTAGAGAGGTGCACAAGTGCATTTGTATCTTGACAGCGGTGGAGACATGGCACTGTCCTGTCCCCTCCCTCGTTTCTGACAACACTCCCCATAAGCAGCAAAGTCTCCAGGTTTCTCCAAATATAACCTCATTGGGAGGAAGTGCAAAGCACTGAAACAGCAAATGATTAACATCATGACTGATATTCTTTACATGCTTACTCCAAACTCTGACAAAATCAGAGGAGCTGAAGCATCTCTGCTAATGCTTGCACTTGTTACAAGCACAGTGGCAGGAATATTTCAAAAAATAAAGTGTTATGTGAGGGCTCTAAGTTATGAAGAACAAGGCATGAGACTTTACAGAGCACATCTTTAAGTAACAGTTACCAAATATAAGATACCTTTTGATAAGGTCTCTGAGGTGATATGCTGGAATGGCTGAATTAACCACCCCTTCACTGGCAAATATGCGATCAATGATGGCAGAACTGTTTGTCTGGAAAGCAAAAGAAACAATGCTTAGGGAGGAAAAAAACAGACAAATGCAAAGCTTGCAATATCCCATCATTTTCCAGACTGTATGCAGAGGGCTTTGGTACTGTGGTGTTTTGTGAGAGATCCCCAGTGCTCAAACCTCACACGTTAAACCAGCAGGCCCACATCAGATGAAGTTTTTCCCATTTGCCCATGCAAAAGCTGGAAATTTACACGCACCAGCAAATTCATTGTTAACTGTGGACATTATGATTCTGAAAGGATACTCTTACTGGGAAGGGGAACACAAAAATAAAATTATTTCATACAGAACAGAAGACAGTCAGGCTCTGGGCTCACAACACAGAGCCTTCCTCATTTTCTCAGGATACAGACTTATGAGAGGATCCCCAAATTAGAGCTAATGATAGATTAAAATCGGTAAATAATTCCTTTGTCATTGTGCTGCTGAACTAGATGGCAGTCAGCCATACATTTCGTTCTTCCTTCTGGTGCCACACTACAGCCAGTGCAACTCGGCTCCCAAATCTTGGCAAGGCACAGGCTCCAAACACAGAATCCTGGAACCCTCAGCTGTCAGTAACCTGAACACAGGCAGCATTCAGGCACGCCAGTCCCACAGGGCAGGCGGGTCTTTAAGGCTCTGGACCCTTAATTCTCAAGGCAATAGGATTAGAGAAACATCCTGGAAACACTCTCGAGTTGCCAGGTGCTACCTCACAAATCCAGGTTATGAACAACAAGCCGGAGGACTTGTTCAGTGCAAGCAAGAATGTCTGCAGTAGCTCTCGCTCACCTTCCATTCCTGAGATTGGACTGTATGTTTCAGTTTCATTCCTGAGAACATTTCCAGTAAAACGATTCCCAGACTCCACAGATCCACAGCAGAGGTACACTCCGTCTCACTCTGGAGCCCTGCCTGTGCCAGGCAGTTCTGCAGTTCTGCCTCTGGAGCCCGATACCCGTCTGTTTGAATATATTTCACGTCCTACGGGAGATCAAACACAGAGAAAAGTGTAAATTTTCCATATTCAGGTTCTCCACTCTGTGCTTCGATCAGTTCAGAGACATCCTTCTAAATGGGTCACCAAAATACTATCTCTAAATTGACAGAAAGCGTTGTACAGCCAGTTGTGTTAGGCAGGCAGTTCAACTTGCTATACCGCTGCGTTGATGAGGGGGAAAAAACAGGACTGTCTGGAAGAGAAAACAACTCCCAGCAAAACAGCGGGCATTCCACTAACATCTGATCTCTCTGACAGACAGCCCTGCTGGGAGGAAGAGGCTGGATGTGACTGTGGACTGGTCCATTAAGCTCCCATAAGTGCAGACGACGCTAGAAGTTTCAGGATAAGGGTCGGACACCCACAATATGCTCCCACATCCGCTGCATGAGAGCACAAACAGCTCGGTCTAAACAGTGAGGATCAGTAACAGCTGCCATTATTCAAATACTGACATTCTCTGGAATAAAACATTAAAAGAACAGGCACCTCATGCTCAGAAAAGGAAATTATCAAAGGCACTTCCAACACATCTCTTCCTTCTCCCCCTCGCAGCCACAAGTGCTGCAGCAACCAATACCTGCCCAGCTGCAGTGGCTGGCAGAGTAGAATAACATGCCCACATGCTGCCTGCTTAGAAGAAAACAGGAAATTATAGAATCACACAATCGCTGGCTGAAGAGGCTGCTCACAGCCAATACCTGATCAGGCAGCTGTGGCTTTGTCTAGCCAAGTCTGTAAGTGTCCCAAGACAAACTGCACACTGCCTCTTTTTAACACAGGAGGGCTCATTTTAGACACACTGATGCAACTCAAGGAATGACAGAAGAATATGCAAGCCTACTTCCTGGATAAGGCACAGGACTGGGAATTCTTACAAGGGGAATATATTAAAATCAAAATTACCTGGTTCTCTGTAAACGAAGTTTACCGAAGACATTTTCAGGCTACAGAGCTCTAAAGTGTTTTATGAATTTTAAAAAAAATTGATACACAAACTGGTCATCAGCATCCCTCGCCCTATCAGCAAAGAGCAGAACCTCTAGCAGGGCAAAAGCAGCAATTTAGCAGCCCCACCAAACAGTATTTAGAGGGAGAGAAAACACTGTGGTCAATGGCACCAGCAAAAAATAAGAGATGGAATTTCACTCCTACCATCTACAGCATTTTGAGATATGTAAGTGGCTGAGACCTTGCTCTGTGTGCAGTCATTCTCTGTTAAACAGTAACGGCAGGAAAAGTTATGCAAGGATAAGCTCAGCCTGGCTGTCACAAATAAAAGCAGTATAGTCTTGACTCAGACAAGGAAATCATGCACGTATGCTGCTGCCCAAGGCAGGGGTGGTGAGGGGAAGCTGATACCCGGTGCACATTCAAAGCAGGGTCAGAAGGTTCACCTATACAGCCAGCATATTTCTGAGAATGGGCAAAAGAAACTCAGCCCAAAGAAAGCACACTGGAAGGAACCACAGAAGCAAATAAAACACCTGATCAACTACTATAAGGCAACTCACAGAGCAAGCAGCGAAACACAGACTTGAATTAAAAGAAGAGGTATCTGCATTAGACACAGGACACCAGGAGAATGTTTTTTGCTGATAGACAGCAACAGATCACCAGCACAAACCAGGGTTCAGCCAAGAATGTGGGAGGACTGAAGAAAATGAGAAGGAGTTAAGAAGTACAAATATTAAAAACAGCTTCTGTACCAAAGAATTCAGAGACAGGTCACCCACACAATCCTCTGATATTCACAGATTAGTGGGCTGTACCATCAATACCAGGTAAACCAGTAAAAAATTCTATTAATTTAAAACCTTTAAACGAGTAGAGAACAGGGAGTAGCAACAAGCCAGGACAACCTTTGCACAGAAAACTCACTTGATTTACCAGACTCACTGCCCATCACCTAGTGATTAAAGGCAAATCGGATAAGAGGCTACCTGATGAAAAAGCTTTACTGACACCCCTCACAGGCTGTTAGTGAGGGATGGGAGAGGTGAAAGGAAGCTCTATGAAGCTAACAGCAGAACCTACTGAGGCTCTCTGCTTTCATCAGAGGCCATGGAAGAGAATAAGAAGGGCAAGGACAAGCTTACAAAACCCAGTATCACCAAACCAAAAAAGCGACAGCACGAAGAGGGAATGAAAGCCCAACAAACGGGAAAAGCAGGGTAGAACAGGCAGAAATCTGTCTGTATCAGTAAAGAACAGACACTGCCTATCCACAGAGTGTGGGCTTTCATCAACACAATGACATGGGAAAGAAACATCTAGACTTCCTGAAAGAGGAAAGCTGCTGAAGTTCAGATGAATGTAAAGACAAGCACAAGGACACTACCAGAGATAATGCAATTAACTGGAGAGGCTGATGGTAAAGCCTGGATCACTGCTACATAGGATAAGGGATGATTAAAAGGAAATTCTACATATCTGGATGCTCCCACTCGTCTGACCACATGAAAAGCTAGAACTCTTTCCAGGAAGCTGAGACACCACTTTTTTCAGTGCTTCATTAACTTTGGAATTCATGGTCATGTGTAGCACAAAGGCTAAGACATCAACAAAAACCAGTGATGTGCAAGGAGAATGGGAACACAAGCTTCTGTTTCTGGGGTGAGTCAACATTTTAACTTTTTCCAGGAAACCCTCAGCACCAGCTCAGCTACTACTCTGATCAGGTCACATTGACTCCTACACTCATGAGCTGAAAGCATCACAGACCCACACAAGTCAACACAGAGCCAACTGCTTCGAGAGCAGCACGTTCCAAACCTGATTCCCCTCTTTGAAGCTAAGTCCAAAGTCAATGAGCTTAAAGCACTCCTCCTCTGCACTCCACAGGATGTTGCGTGGCTTGAGGTCTGCGTGCACGTAGCCTTTGTGGTGCAGGAAAGCCAGGGCTTCGAGAACATCTCGGGCGCAGTGCTGGATCATCCACATGGAGCAGCCCTGGTTGCTGGAGTGCAGCAGCAGCTCGGACACGCTGATGTCCAGCAGCTCCAGCAGCAGACAGCGAGACGGACCATTGGCAGAGTAGTGGTTGGTGAACACGCCGTACAGCGTCACTACGGTGAGACACAGTGACAAGCATTGGAAATGAGCAATCACACGGTCATCACACTCCACCTCTCTCCACTACTGCCCCGAAGACCACAAAAGCTGCAGGAGGCAGCTCATCCGTTTTACAAAGTGTGATGTTCAGAGCGCTGGAGATCCAGACTTCAGAGGAAAGCAGCAAGGAAAACCAGCCATGCCACCTGTCTGGGCTGCAGAGGATGGGCTGCTCTCACACCACCACGCCAGACTCTGCTAAAGCGACAGGGCCAGGCGCTGCTGCTTAGAAGGACAATCTCTGGGACATGGATACGCAGGTCCCAGGGGGTAAAATGGAGGTAGCACCACTCTCTTTGGGACATCTGTCAATCTCTTCCCGTGGCCAACCTGGCACGGTGGGAACCCGAGCTCTGCCTGAGTGCCCAGGTATATTACAGCATTAAAAAGCGTTTCACACAGACAAAGCGATCGTCGGCGGGAGGACCTGGGGACTTCCAGCAGCCACCTCTGGTGCACAGACTTGCTCCCTTCCTACACCCACTCCCACCCGCGCAGGCAGCCCGGGGGCAGATGCTGCCCCACCGCTGCCCCGTAGGCAGCACCGCTCGTACTGGGGCAGCTCGGGCAGCCCTGCCCAAAGAACTTCGGGGTGCCTTGCCCCGGGGCAACCTACCCAAAGGGTGACACCCACCGCCCCTGCTTGCTCCTGCCCACCCTGGAGGGGTGACCTGCAGGCCCCCCTCAGCCCAGGGAAAGAGCGAGGTACCCACGGGGGCGGGGGGGTACCAGGAATCACCCTCCGCAGGGATGCTGCTTTGGGGTGTCCGTCCCAGGCAGGGGGCCCCCAAACCTGCCCACCCAGGGGTGCCAATCCAGGGGGCACGCTGGCCTGGGGGTCTCCAGCCCTGCCTGCGGGTGGCAGTTTGGGGGTGAGGGAACCCATACTCCCAAAGGGGTTGAGGGGGGTGGGTTTGGAGACACCAGTTTGCCTCGGGGGGGAGGGAGACTGTCATGCATGTGGGGGGTGCCGGGTGCCCGCGGGAGTCCCCCGGGAAGGTGGGGAGGTTTCGGGGGGGCGGTTACCGGGGGTGCCCGGGGCGGGGGGGGGGGTGCCGTTACCGATGTTGCGGTGCCCGCGGAGGTGCTCGAGCGCAGCGCGCTCCTTGCGGAAGCCGTACTCGGCGCAGTCGGCGGCGGGCGGGCGGGCGCCGGGGCGGCGGGCGGGGCCGGGCCGCGGCGGGGGCGGCACGAACTCCTTAACGGCGCCGGGGGGGGCCCGCGGGTCCCCGCAGCAGCGCACCCGGTAGACGGAGGCCGAGGAGCCGCTGCCCAGCGGCGCCTGCACCTCCCACAGCCGGCCCAGCGCTTCCAGCAGCGGCGCCGCGCCCCACACGCACCCCGACATGGCGCCGGCTGACGACGCCTCACATCCCCCCCCCGCCGCTGCCCCGCCGCCGCCTCGCGACCCGCACCGGCCCCGCCGCCGGCCGCCGCCGCGCTCCGGCCGCCATGACACCGGAAACGGGGCGGGGCGGTGGCGGCGCGGCGCGGCGGCCCCTCCCCTCCCGCGGCGCGGGGCGGAGCCGGCAGCGGGGCGGGCGTCGCGCGGGGCTCCCAGCCCCTCAGCCCCGGCAATGGCGGGGTCCCGGCCCCTCAGAACCTCGGGCTCCCATCCCCTCAGCCCCGGTAATGGCGGGGTCCCGTCAGCTCAGTACCCCCGGGCTCCCAGCCCCTCAGCCCCGGCAATGGCGGGGTCCCGGCCCCTCAGAACCTCGGGCTCCCATCCCCTCAGCCCCGGCAATGGCGGGGTCCCGGCCCCTCAGCACCAGCACAGCAGGGCAGCCATGTCACCCTCTCAGTCCGAGCACAACCAAACTCCCCCCAACGCCCTCCGGCTCCCCGTGACTGTGCCCTTGGCAGCTGTCAGGCCTCTCTCCGGCGGTGCTTTTGGGGGATATTTCCCTTAACCCCAAGGCTTTAACACGGCACACCCCCACCACCTGATGCAATGACCCCGGTAAGCCCGGCGCAGGGAGGCGGCTATCCCCAGCACCCCTCAGCTCCACGGCGCTGCCGCTTCGCTCCCCTGCCCTGCACCCCCCGCGCAGGAGCGCCCGGCAGGTCCCCGGCCTCATCAGGGGGCTTCGGGACCACACCAACCTGGGGTGCGGGTGGTCCTCTCCCATCAAGAGACTGCTAAGTGTTCAGTGGGTAAAAAAAAAAAAAAAAAAATTTATTGTGCAATCTGCATCTTTTGTCCCAAACTACACACACACCCTAGTCAACATAAATAGAGGGACTGGACCAGCAGTGAGGTTCCCTTGTGATCGGCAGGGTTGGAAGATGCTGGTTCCTCAAAGAGTGGCTACAAGCCCTTGTTTTCATCAACATATACAATGCAGTGTACGTCTAGGCAGTATACACATATACATACTCATATAGATTTGTTTGTGGGGCGGCGTTGGCCATGCACAGCGTAACCACATTATACACAGGGTGTGTTATACCTCAGCACCCACCATGGGCTCCGCCTGCCCCTGGTGTCTCCTTTGCTCTTGCGCTGGGCCTTCCCGCGGGCCAAGCACTGCAGAGCCCTGGTGCCACCATGGCACCCACCATCCCACCGGGCAGGGAGCCACGGCGCCTGCTCCCAGGGCAAAGGGATTCACGCTCATGGCCTCCTGCTTCCTTCAGCAGGATCACAACGTGGCGAGACATTTCTTCAGTCCGACCACCCTCTGTGGCCCAAGAACAGCCACAGGCAGAGGTGCCCCATCCATGAGCCCCTAGCCTCCTCCAGCCTAAATCTCACCTTTGCAGCTTTTCCTCTCAAAACCACCTTTGCAGTGAGGATGCACGTAAAAGCTCTAGGCAAAAAAGTGCCACCTCACAGCTGCTTCCTTACACCAGCCCAGGGGTCCACAGGCTGGCTAATCTCTCCTATAATTCATGGGGAAACAATCACAGAGCAGGATCAGAGGACCACGTGGCTTCTTGTCCCAGTCTTGCAAAATGTCGCCATCCCAGGAAATAAAGGAGAGCAGTGGTGCTGGCCCACACGGCCCTTTCTGGGCAGGTTGGTCCAGTCCATGGCGAGACCAGGAAAAAAGGGAGAGCTGGACGGGGGTTCTCATGGGGAACTCAGCTCCCTGCCAGCAAGGTGACCACGATGCAAGCAGGTCTCCTGTGGCTGGGGCTCTGCTGCAAAAGAGATGGCACTGGGCAGACTAATGCCAAGAGGTTGGACCTGGGAGAAGGTCTTGGACACGTCTGCTGTCCTGGCTCCCTGGCACCAGGCACTAGGGCTGGGTGAGCCTGCTAGCACCCCGGGGAGAGGTATCTCAGCAAGCACACGGCAAAAGCTGGAAAATCCTCCGATCAGGGCAGCCAGTGCAGACGTGGGGAGCAGTGTGGGACTCTCACAGGATGCTCACTCTGGCAGAGTCAACGGTGGGGTTGAGGGCAGGCTGGCACTTTTGTACCCCTGCATGAGGACCCGGGCTGCTGAGCGAGCCCACCCTCAAGTCCCCAGCCACAGACAGGATGGTGGCACCGTGGCAGGACGGGAGCTTTGCACTGACCAGCGAATAGGCCCGTGACGGGGCTGCAGAAGCCATGGCGGGATAGGCTGTACCTCTCCTGGGAATTCGGGGAGAAGTGGGGTGTCATGGCTCTCCACACCCCATGCTGGGGTAGCAATGGCTCCTGTCACCCCAGGGCTCCCCCCTCTCCAAAATAATGAACCCAAAAATGGCAAGTGGCAGCAAGAGACATGTTTGGGAGAGCCAGCCCCCACAGTCCCCCTGTCACAGCTCCCCCGCTGCTACTCAAAGGACAGTAGGTCAGGATGGGGGCCCTCCACCTCCCAGCTGGGGCTATGTGGCTCCTGCTGCCCCGTGTTCCCTGGCAGCTCGTGCTCCAGCCCTGGTCTCTGGGAAGGCTTCTCCATGTGGGGTGAGGTCTCGGTGGCCCGCTCGCCCGCTCGCCACTGGCTCTCCAGGCTGCCCTTATGGATAAGGTCAGGCACAGGGAAGGCACCAGTAGGCTGGTCCCCACTGGGCCCTGGGGTGTCCACCATGCTGGGGACCCCAGGGCATTCCGGTGGGGACGGGTCCCTCATCACCAGCTGCTCCTCTGTGGGGTCAGGGTGGGCTACAGGCAGTTTGAGGAGCTCCTCCGTGCTGCTCCTTGGGCTGGTCCCCATCGGCTGCGGTGCGATGAGCATGTCCTGCGGGGTCTTCAGGGCGCGTGGTGTCCGCTTTTTGGTGACGGGGGGTGGGGGGTCCAGCCGGGGAAAGGTATCCAGCCCCACTGCCCTGCAAGCACAGAAGAGAAGTCACATACAGCCCCATGCTGAGGCCCCTCCAGCCCGTCCCACCAGCCCCGCCGCGGGGTGCACGCTGTGGGGACACTCACCCGTCCTCGCTGGCCAGTGGTCCTGTGCCCAGCATGGCCCCAGCGCTGGCATTCACCTCCATCGCTCCCACGCTGGGGAGGCTGGCCGGCTCCTTGCGACGCAGGAGGTCGTTCACCTTGGCCCCCACGGCCTTGCCCAGGTTGCGGAGGTGCTGGCTGCCGGCGGGACGGGAGGGCTGCGGCGGGACGCCTGCCATGGTGGGGACGTGCTGCGCCTGTGGGGTGGGTGCTGCGCTGGCGCTGGCATTCTCAAACATGCTCTGGTCCACTGGAGGGGAAAAGGGAACAGAGAAGGGGTATAAGCTGGGCTGGAAGGGGGACCCCAGCAGGGACAGCACATCCCAGAGCTGCCCGTCAGCTCCCAACCCAGCAGCAGGGGAACACAGTTTGGGTGGCAGGGAGGCTGCTCCTGCAGCCGTGCCAGGGCAATGCATGCACCGGGGACAGCATGGGGTGAGACGGGGGTAGCAGCGAGCCCAGGGCTCCACGCCGGCACTGCCAACACACCAAGAGCGTCTCTTACCTGACACCAAGCAACTTGGAAAGCAGGTTGTGGAAAGAAAGAGAGAGAGAGGATTTACCAAGGGAATAGCAAGGGGAGAGCGGGCCTGTCCCTTCCGCGCTGCCGAGCGAGGTGTGCTGCCCACCCCCTGCCCAGATCTGCCATGCTGCCTGTGGAGATGAGACTCACACGGGGCCCTTATCAGGTACACATCTGCAAAGCGGTGGTGGGGTTCTCTGGGGGCACCCACAGCCCGGGCTCTGCACTGCCCACCCCACCGAGGCTGGCTGTCCTCTTGTGCTGGCCAAGCTCCCCAAGACCCCGGGGACTGAGCACACCGCCCAGGAGCATCCTGCTGTGCACCGTACACACGCGTGACATCATCCCTTTGTGACTTCAGCCGATGATGGCACGGCTACCGTGGTGCAGGAGCCACGCACGGGAGGGTGATGGAGAGCTTTGTCCTGCCCACCGCTTCCATCAGGGCCATGCCCCACGGCACCAAAACAAGAAGTCCGGAGGCCCCGTGCTCCTGGGGCCCTGCCAGCCTGCCCGGTGAGCCTGGTGCTCCCTGGCCACGGCCGGGCAGGGGGTGCAGGCAGCCAGCACTGCCCGTGGGGAGTGCCTTGTACCTCCTGGGCACGGTCATGGCACGGACCAGCCTCCCACGGCACAGCGAGGGCCTGGGGGCAGATGGGCCGTGGCGGGGTTTGGCTGGGCATGTCCTCCTGCGCGGGTGGGGAAAGGGGATGGGGCAGGTCTGTGGCAGCGGGTCCTTTCTGGGGACCTGATGGGGTTCTGCAGTCACACCCCACCTGAGCTACACTGGTTTCTCCCCCATGTCTTCCCAGCAGGAATCCTCAAAGCTGTGAGTGCTGACCCCGGGAGCGCCAGCTCGGCCCCGCCACCGCTGCCCCTGTGCCAGCACAGCTCGCCGTGGGACGGCTCCAGCGGGCTGCTGGGTGAGCCTTGTGCTGTGCTGGTGCTTGGTGCCCACCAGCATCCTGCGCCCACCTCTACCCCTGCATGCCAGGGGGACACACTGGGACAGAGCCAGCCACCTCTGCATCCCACGGAGACAGAGAGGAAGGGTCCCCAGCACCGCTCCCCACCCTGTGGGGGGCCTGGCTCTTGCAGGGACCCCTGACTCACTGCAGACCCTTTTCCCAGCAGCCTGCGACACCGCATCCTCGCCAGGCAGCGAGCTCCCTGCCCGCACCATCTACCGGCCCTGGTTCTCACCCTACAGCTACTTCACGTGCACCAAAGGAGCCACCCAGCAGCACCTGGGCAGCCTCTCCTCCAGCCAGGCCACCAGCACCCAGGAGCATGAGGAGCCTGATGACCTCTCGGAGATTGTCTGCTCCTCCTCTGGCTCTTCAGATGAGCCCCAACCCCTTGAGAGGGACAGGCTGGCCAGCAGCAGAACCAGCATCACAGTCAGGGACATCCTCTCTGCTTCCCAGTGGCAGCCAGTGCCCCAGCGTGGCTACCAGTGCATGTCATGCTGCCGCATCTTCCCCACGCTGAGGTCGGTCAAGACTCACATCCAGCACAGCTCCCAGGAGGGCTACAGCTGCAAGGTGTACTACCGCAGGCTCAAGGCTCTGTGGGAGAAGGAGTGCAAGGCACAGGAGGCTGCAGCCCCCAGGGTGCCCGTGTAGCCCCCGCCAGCCAGGCAGCTGCCGCGGGAGGGCACTGCTCCATCACTCCTGACAGCAGCAGAATAAATTGGTTTAGGAGCAGCCAGCCCTGTCTGCCTGCTGCTCTTGCCTACACAACACTTCCGCCATCCTTTAAGAGAATCTCTTCTCGACTTTTCCTTACGCAGCAGCCAAAAATCTCCCGAGCCCCTGAAAGCGCTGCTTAGCATCTCTGCATCTCCGTGGGGAGCTCTGCACATGCCAGGAACCTCTCGGCACCCTGGAGCTGTTGGGTCAGGCCTGGGAAGAGGCTACGCTGTGAAGTGGCTGAAGGGGAAGGCTGAAACCCTTCTGCTCCCAGAAATGTTTGAGGTACCTCGCTCTCACGGGCAGCCTGTGGCTGGCACCACAAGCAAGGGTCCCGCAGGGGAGGATGCTGAAGTGGGAGGGGGTCTGTGCAAGGCCAAGGGACACCACCACCAGTGCTGGCTCCCAGCGCAGAGGGGGAGAGAAGTACAGAAAGAGAGAGTCAGTGAGAAGGAATAGACAACAGAAAGCCTTGAGAAATAGAAAGATTTATTTAGCAAAAGCCAGTCGACTAATGACAACACCCAAGGGTTAAGTGCACTTACATTGACAGATTGGTTTCCCAGATAGATTGAGTCAACAGTTAGTAACACGACAGTTGTAGGAAAAGAAAGGACAAAAAATATAGCTATAAATCCCCAGTCAAGGTCCATAACAAAAGTAAGAGGCTAGAGAGGCGTCTCGGAGGCAGCGCTGAGTTAGGAGGAGGATCATTTACACATGTACACACCTGTGGTGAGGCAGGACACTGGCAGGGTCCCACCCGGCTCCGGCAGCACCCCCTCAGCCCGCGGGGCATCCACCACCATCCCCGGCGGGCAGTGCTGGGCAGGAGCGGTGGCACGGGGAGATGGCTCAGCCCTGCCTTCTTTCTGAGGCAGCCCAGCCTGGAAGAGGCCTCTTGCCTGCTGCTGCTCCTCCCAGGCTCTCCCTTCATCTGCTCTGCACTTACGGCCGAGCTCCTGCTGTCCCCTCTCCTGCGTGACCCTGTCTGTCCACATGAAAATCCCGCTCCACGCTCACCCATGCATCCCTGCCCTGCCTGCGCCATGTCCCGTGTGTGCTGCCATCCCCACCTCTCTCCCCTGGGGGGGACCAGTCCCCCCGCCTTCACCTCCAGCTGCTGCAAGGGGGCAGGGGGATGTCAGGGTCCCCAGCAGAGGGGCTGGCACACAGCGGCACGGGGCAGGGTACATGGAGGTGTCAGTAGTCAGGGGACAGGAGCACCCGGGACACCCTGCAACCAGCACCCACTCTGTCCCCTCTGTGGATGGTGGCAGGGGGGTCCCCTGGACACCAGGTCGCTGCTGGGGACACTGAAACATGTCCTTCCTTCCCACTAGGACCCTCTAGCTCCTCTCAGCATCCAGCCTCGTTCTGTGGTGGAGGGTGTATAGCACACTGACCTCGGGGGGCCTCACCCACACCTCACTCCTCAGCTGCCCTCAGTCCCATGGGGACCAGGGCAGAAAGAAGCGATGGCCCTTCCTCAGCAGCTGGACTGGACCCTGGAGGAGAGCAGGGGCTCGTGTCCGGAAGGTGCTCAGCTGAGGGTTAGTTGCAGGCAGGTCTAGCAGAGACAGAGCTGGCAAAGGCGAGTGCAGCCGGGAAGCAACAAAGCGAAGCAGAAGCAGGCTGGAAGGGTATATGGGAAGCATGACAACCGTGTCAATCATCACCTCATTGAGTGTTTCCACAAGGAGCAAGGGGAAAATGAGGACTCTGGTTCGTACCCCCTCAGCCATGACCTCTTAGAGGCTGCAGCAACAGGCAGCTAATAAATGTGCAGGAAAGAAATAAGCACTGGATCCCTTGGAGGCCCTCACAGACAGCTCTCAGCCATGGCATCCTGGGGTCTGGTGGGGGATCCTGAAATCTTGGATTCACTTTTCTGGAGAGTGCAAACCAGAGACGTGAAGGAGCCCCCCCTGCAAACACCAGCAGTTTGCTCCCCATCGAGGGATGGCAAGTGTGCCCACCCCCACACTGGCCGTTGCCAGCACTGCATCCCCCAGCCTTGGTCTGGCACCAAATGACAGCCTGGAAATGGGAGGGTTTGTCTATAAAGCAAAGCGGGGAGTTTGTGGTGATAGAGGGTGCAGGGAAGTGCTTGAGAACATGACTTAAGAGCACCAGAAAGGCTTTGCAACCTGGCAGCCATGCTGAGAAGCCGAAGTACTGGATGGTGAGGGGAACGACACCCTGTGCTGCGTGCCCTGGCTTCCTGCTCCGCGCCAAGATGTGACTTCTTCCCCGCTCCACAGCCCGGGAGAGGAGCAGGCAGCGCCCGCACACCCTCCACCTGCCTCAGGCAGGGACAAACCCTGTGCTGGGAGTGCCACAAACACCATCACCCTGCCAGGAGCTGCCTGTGCCCAGCCACCCTGCGCAACTTCAGCTCACCCCTTTATCTCCTTCCCAGGCTCGTCCCTGCTGTCCCCCATTGCCTCACCTCTCACTCACGGACCCACATCGACAGTGCACTGTCACCAACCCCAACCACCCTGCTAGCATGGCCCTGGCCTCATCTCCCACCCTCTCCACACTCAGACAGACAGACCCCCTGCCAGTGGCTCTGTCCCCGCTCGCTGCCCTGGCACTGCCTCCTCAGTCCCTTCTGTCCCTGCTCACTGCCCTGTGCCTGCTCTCTCATTCCCCCGGCAAAAACCTTCATCTGCTTTACTGTTGCCCCATCAGCAGCAGTGGCAAATCCAGCAGGGAGTCCCTTGCTTCTGCCTGACCTGGAAACACAGCTTGTGTGGGGGACAGGGACCAGGGGGGTAGCACAAGCAGCTTCCAGCTCGCTGTCCGATGCGAAGCGGGGATGCTCCAGCTCAGCACACAAGCCCATACACGCTGGAGCACAGCACGCCCAGCACTCCCCCTCGGCACGGCTCCGTCCTCACCTCCGCACACCTCCCGGCCGTGTGCTGGAAGCCTCACGCTCCCTCCTCTGCCCCCTCTCCCTCCGGGCTGTCCCGTCCCTGCCAGGGCCAGGCGGCTATGGACAGGGTCCGCCCCAGCTCCGGGGGGGTCCTGGCTGCTCCGCACCACCTCCTGCCGACCCCTACACCGCGATCTCATCCTCCAGGCTGTCACCCAGGTCCTGCCTGGGCTGGACGTGGAGCAGGCGCGGCGGTTCCTCCTGGGACCAGGAGTCACGCTCCTCGCTCTCGTCCGTGTTGGACTCGTACTCAGAGGCGATGCCTGACTCGCGGAACTTAATGAGCTCCAGGCTGCCCAGCGCTGGCTCCGGGGCGGGTGGCCCTGAGCCTGGCAGAAAGCGGTAGCACTCCAGCTTCACCAGACAGTCGTTCCTACCTATGGGGCTGCCCAGGGCACTGGGGAAGCCCGAGCCAGGGCCCAGTGGCGGCGGGTGGGTGTCCTCGGGCTGCGGGGTGGTTGGGTCGCAGAGGACGGGGAGGACGTTGGAGCGGAAGGTGATCTCCAGCAGACTGTCCTGGGAGCCCGCTGCAAGAGAAGGGCACAGCTGAGAGGCAGGCAGTGCCACCCTGGCTTGCCTGGGTGTCCCCCGGCCACCGTGACTGGCTGCAGACTGGCCAGAGGGGAGGATGGTCTGGGGCCGTTTGGGTGCCAACCTCCCCACCACCACCGTCTAGAAGGGCTCATTTGGTGCCAGTGGTGCCAGGAGCTGCTGCTGGCCAACAAAGAGAGTTTTACAGAATAAAAAGTTGTTTGTCTCCCACCCCAGCTCCTGTAGGGTGCTGACGGCCTCATCTGCTGGAGAGGAAGGTCAAGGAGGGGCTCTCGGGCAGGTAAGAGCTGGCCTAGACCATGCAGCCACTGAGGAAAGTGGACATATGGCTGATGGATATATATGACTGTCTGGCCATACAGCCCTCCCCATGCCCCTTCCCACACTGCATGCAAGCACCCTGCCACCCACACATGAGCCAGGCCAGAAGGGCACTAATATTCCCCTACACAAGACCACTGGAAATGCACAAAAACCCCAAGAGAAACACCCACATGCATGTCCTCCACAGACCCAGCTAGCTGCGAGGGGAGAGGAAGGGGCAGGAGCGCTTACTGGTGGTGTTCCCTGCCAGCTTCAGCTCCAGCTCCTGCACTTGTTTGACCAGGAGCGAGATGTGCTGCAGCAAGTCCTTGTTCTGGAGCAGGAGCTGGTGCACGCGAGCCTGGGCTTCCAGCCGCGCCGCCGCCTCCGCGGCCAGCTGGTCCTTCAGCAAGTGGACCTGTGTGGCAGGAGGAGAGTGGGTGAGCGTGTGGGAGATGCTGCTCGAGGGATGAGAGCTTCCGACTCCAGCCACCCCTGCTCATCTCCCAGGGCTCACCAGCACCCCACCAAACGATCCGACGAAGCCGCAACCCTGCGGGTACCCGCAGATGCAATGGGGAGGGTGGGGGCAGGCAGCGGTGTTACACCAGGGCATGCTCAGCAAATCCAGCCCGAGGTCCCCCGGCCTCTCTGGTGGAAAAGCCCGAGGCAAAGGGAGGTGGTGCTGACCAAACGGTCAGTCACGCACGCGTGCTGCAAATGCACGAGAAACGGGCGGCCCAGGAGGAAGCCAGATGGATGTGGAAGAGAAGACACGCTCCACCGACTGGATGGTGCTGGGGGTGCGGCCATGTGCCGCGAGCCGGCCCTGGCCAAGCTGTTTTTTCGGGCAGGTTTCCCAGAGACAGGGTCCTGCCAGTGGCGTCTGTCACACTAGCTGGGGCTGGAGCAACAGAGCTGCCCTGGAGCTGCAGGCGGCTCCGGCTGCGACAGGCACGACAAGCCTGGAGCAACACAGATGGCAGAGCGCTGCTGAGACACGGTGACTTTGGGGACACGAGGTGGCTGCTCATCCTCCTGGCCCCGGGAAGCAATGCCTGGACGTTAGCCAGTGGGCGGTCCGTGGGCAAGAAGCCCATTGTTTTCGGCATAACTACCCATACGCATGCATCTACATCACCAGCACCGTGCCCCAGGGAGGGTGGGACGCTGCTGGGTGACACCAGCCAGAAGCCCCTGCCCGGGGGCAGCTCTCTGATCCGAGCTCCAGCAAGGAGAGCCTCAGGAGTGCTCGGGACACGGGGACAGCAGCACAGAGCCACACCAGCTCAGCACCCCTTCCTGCCACCCACCCACGGCTCCTAGAAGAGCTCCTCTCTCCAGTAAGGACTGAACCAGCCAGGCTTATGGAGAACCAGGAAAGCACAGATTTAAAAACAAACAAAAACCCAAAACACACCCCTCCAAATAAAGAGAGTTTTACCTTGGCCTAGAAAGTGACCTTGGGGAAGAGGGGGGAAGCTCTCTGTAGCCTGCCAAAGCCGTGAGCTGCTGCTGCGGGGCCCCAAAAGCAGCACAGCTGGGGGCCACCTGCCCTCCTGGATGGGTACCAGGAGGCAGCGCTGGGTCTGCTGGCAGGCGGGTGCTGCCTGCTTTGTCCTGTGCTGCCCAAACGCAGCCGGCGAGGTGGCAGGGCAGTGCCTGGGGCAGGGCAGAGTTAGAGGCCAGGCAAGGGGCTGGGACTTGCAACCGTCCATGAAGCCAGACCAAGGGCAAGGAGGTGCAATACCTTACACTCCGAGCAGGCAGCACAGAGCCCTTTTGGTTTGCCGGCAGGCCCCCAGCCTGGTGAGACACCCCACACCGCTGCTGCAGGAGCCACAGTCACCTCCTCCTCCTGCCAGCGGTGGGACAGCGGGGCACAGCAGTGCAGTGGGGCAGGGACCCTCTGCCGAATGCTGGTGGGTGAAGCTGAGACCCCAAGCTGAGCTGGCAGAGGTGGAATCGCATTTAAATGCTAAGTGGGTGCCAAAGCTCGGTGCTGGCTGCGTCAGCCTGGAAGTCATCCTTCCTCGCAGCCGGCGGCTATCTCCATCACAGGCGCCTGCAGCAGGGGCCAGGTGATGCTCAGGTGACGCCGGGAGAAGATGCAAGCAGAGCCCAAATGTCATCTCTTGCCACCAACCCCCTGGGGACACGACCCGGGAAGGAAACCTGGCCTTCATTCGAGAGAATGAACTTTCACAGGTATCCGGAAACGCCTTGCAAAATTAAGTGTCTGGTCAACCAGAGAACTAAATGGCATTTCATCCTCGGCCAAGTAATTGGAGGCTGAGATAATTACAGGATGGTCCCCGTAGCTATAGACCAAGCACAGATCCTGCTCAACACAGTGGATCTCCCAGCTTTGTTAGTAAAGAATTAAGCCTGTACCCACCACCATGTGCTCAGAGACAAACTGACTTGGTACTTTTTGAGAGAAGATAACAAGCGCCTTTGACAGAAGTGTTGATGCAATGCATGCAGTCGGCTGAAAGGCATTTGACATGATAGGGCCCAACTTTTTCATTAATAAATTACAATGACACATAATCTTCACGGCGTATGCTGAAGGGAGTAGAGAGCAGCTAAGTGACAGTTCCTGGGACAAGAATCACCCTGGGGTGGGCAGAGGTCCAGAGCAGGGCATCAGCCCTTGGAGAGAGGGGGCTGAGGCCAGTGGCTGCCATCCCAGAAACGGCGTTACACTATTTCAGATTTTTTTTTTAATCTGAAGTAGGAAGAAAAAGAAATTGCCACTGCAAGGCTCTGCACACAAAGACTGGGAACTACTGAAGATGAGCAGTCCCTGCCACAGAGGGACCTGCCTTTGCCTGCAGCAAGGCTATACTTGGGCAGACATAAAGGATCCCCCGAGGATGCAGGTCCCTCTTCCAGAGGGGAAAGCTACTTCTGAGCCTGTGACTGCAGGAGGCACGTGTGCTCTGGGGGCAGCAGCTCGGCCACAAGGACCAGTACTGATTTTCTGATGTGAGAAGAGGAAAGCCATGGGAAAGCACAGGAAGGCTGCTGGAGCAGATCTCTCAGGCCAGGAAGAAAGTTGAGCAACTGCAGAGAGCTCTGCAAGGGGTCAGGGAACAAGTAAAGCTAAGGTAATGAGTCGGATAAAGCAACCAGAGCTGCTTAAATGAGAAATACCTGCATGGAGAGCAAGCCTCCAGCTGCACAGCCCAGGCAGCAGTCGGCTGAGGCTAATGCTGAGGCCAGGCACTCACAAGCAGACAGGGGTCGAAGGATCAAGCAACCTGGTGGCACGCAGACCTAAGCACCTCATCTTTTGTGACAGGGCCAGGGCAAACTGCCACTCCTCTCCCCTTGCTGCACAGCCCGGGAGACAGTCCCTCCTCATCCCCTGTCTCCCAGCTTCTCCCACAGCCACTGCCTGAGCCCCCCGGCCTGGAGGCAGCACTGAGGGGCTCGGTAGCATGCCCTAGCCCTGTCGCTGCCCCCGGGGAAAGCGGAGAGGAGAACCTGTGCCACGGCCACTTGCGTCTGCTGCTGCTGCTGCTGCAGGAGCTGCTGGAGAAGCTGCATTTGGTGGTGGGCAGAGAGGGGCGTTCCCAGGTCGGGCAGCTGGGCAGACGAGGGCAGCAGCATCTTGGGCGACGCTGTCAGGATATCTTCAGGGTGGAGGCAGCCCTGCAAAACACCGGCATCGAAAGTGTGATCCCGCGCCCCTCGCCACGGAGCGCTGCCAGGCACGCATGGGCTGCAGCACTGAGCAGCCCCCCCAAAATACCGAGGAAAGAAGCTGCTGCATTCAAAGCAAGCGCACACTTTGCTGGGGGTGCTGAAAAACCTTGAAGACAGTATTTTTTCAGTTTTGACAACAGCCCAAATACTTTTGTAGAAAATTCCCAGAAAGGCTGACACTTCCCATGGGAATTTCCACCACTGTATCAAAAAACTCCTTTTTTTTTTTTTTTTTTTTTTTTTTTTGGGAGCGGTGGGGGGAAAAAAATCCCTATCAGCTCTGCCCCAGACTCTTTCCGTGTGGCTGCACATAGCTGAGCCTCGGCACGGCGCTCCCCGGGAGCGCCCCGGGCCCCGAGCCAAAGGGCAGCTCTGCAGCGGCAGATGGTTTTGATCCGGGAGCCGGGGAATGCTGCACAATCCCTCCTGATCCCCAGGGACGCTCATGGGGAGCCACGGGGCTGAGGCCACGCCGTGCCCTGAGCGCAGAGGGCAAGGGACCCACGCACCTTGGCGTCGGCATAGGCGCTCGCCTCCTGGCCCACGGCGTCGAGGTCGGTCACGCCACGGCTGAAGTCGAGGATGTCGGCTCCGGGCAGGGGCAGCTCCACGGCGTCAATGTCCGTCTCCTCCGCCGAGGCGGCTGCCCTCTCGACACCGGTGAGGCGGCAGGCTGCGGGAGCGGCGGCAGAGCAGAGCACAGCCTGCTTGGAGCAGGAGCTTGCCACGGCATGGCGAGTGAGACCCCACCGCCCCCGTGCCACCCACCCTCCAGCTCCACGGGGGGGAAGCGGGTACAGAGCGACACGGCTGCGCTTCCTGCTGCCGGCCGGGATGGGGCTTGCGGCAGAAAACACGCCCGTCCCCAGCGTGCCAAACTTGGGGAGCAGCGGCCAAAACCCCTGATGTGGGAGAAATGGGCCATCGAGAGCAGAAGACACAGAGAATGCTAAGGAAAGGTAAACAGATTACAGGGTGAAAAAAAAAAAAAAAAAAGGCGGATGCTCAGAAATCCCCAGGGAACTGAGTATCGTGGCCAGGACATTGTGTGGAGGAAAAACAAACAATGACCGGTCCAGGGCAGCCCAATGATTAGGTCATCACGACAGCACCGGTTGCAGGGGCAGGCAGGAAACCGCGGCGCAGCCCAGGCAGCTCCTGATGGGATGGGGAGGGGATCCAGCACCCAGGCAGCCCACACACGGACAGGCAGCAGGACCCACCAGCATCCCGACGCGCCCTGGAGGTCCTTGGCCAACCTCTTGCAAAGAGCAACCAGGCACCAGGGAGGTCCCCGGGCGATGGGGTGGGCCAGCAGCTCTCAGCCAGGAGCATCCCTGCACCCCCTGCCCCCGGGGCTGACGAGGGAGGGAAGGGTCTACAGGCTGCCTGCAGCCCTGGGAGCTTGGTGGAAGATCCCAAGCATGGCTTCATAGGTGCAGAGGGGGGTGGGTGGATGGACCCTGAGCTGGGTGCATGGCAGAGAGCCGGGCCCAGCCCCGCCAGCGCCTCGGGACACGGGGAAGGTCTGTGCTTAGGGTTTCTTCCGTGGAAGAGGCGAGGAAATGTTTGCAGAGCATGCAGCCAAGCACAAAGAGTACTCAGACGCCCAGCAGAGTCCCGGGCACTGCTAATGGGCTCCCAGCGAGGGGAATGTCTGCGAGGATGATGGCTAACACCTAGCGAAGGCCCCTTGCTGGGCAAGATCCCAGCTTGAGCCCGAGGCGCCGCAGGCCAGATTGCTGTGCAAATCCATTCCCCGCAGGTGTCAGCCAGCAAGGAGCGGTATGGGAAGATGGTGACGCTGCAGACCGTGTCTGCCAGGCTCCAGGACCCCCACGCCACCCCCGCCTCCGTCCTCGCAGAGTACCTGGGACATCCAGGTCGTCCCCATTCCTCTCACTGTCTCCGTCCTCCTGTCCGTCTGCGTTTTGCTGGGTGTGCTGCAGGCTCAGCTTGTGGCAGACCTCGAACGCCTGACCCACCGTCCGGACGATGCGCATGGCTTGGCTCTGCAGCAGGTGAGGAGGGGAGAGGAGAGGAGGAATGTAACCTCAGCTGGGCTGCCCCTGCCCGATGACCTCCCCAACCTGGTGCAGCTCTCGGGGGGGTCTCTGTGCTGCCACAGGGACTGAGGGACCATAGCTCAGATCACCAGGGTGCTCTGGACCATTCATTGCAGCACAGTGCCAGGGGGTCCTGCCCCAGTTGCCTCACTGAGACCCCATGGCAGTGGGATGTGCCTCCCAGCATCTTTACCTTCTTCTTGGATTTGAAGACGTTGCACCTGAAGACATTGCTAGACCCATCCCTGGCAATGTAGCTGAAGATCTTTAGGTCCTGGGAGTCGTGAGACACGTAGAATACCCTGCAAGGACAGAAAGGAGGGGACGATATCATCTACAATATTACCCATGGTACCCAGGAGACAGGCAAGGCCACAGCCAGTGCTTCCCAGGGCACATCCTGGGGTGCTGGCAGATGCCCAGCCTCTGCAGCATGTCCTTGCTAAAGCCCATCAGAAATTTTTTTGGCAGAGGTTTTGCCTTGGCTGGGAAAATTAGCCTGCTGATTCAGCAGCAGCAAGCATTTTGTGAAGGCAGAACGGGGCTTTCTCTGCGCAGCCCCCGGGGACAGAGCTGGCAGCCCAGGAGCCCTCCGGGGACTGAGGAGAGCAAACCTCACTCCTTCACCCTGCCTGCTCGGAGAGCTGCCCTCCTCATTTGGGCACCTGCCTCCCCCTCCCCGGCACGGCTGGGGCCGTTCCTCACCCCCATTCAGCCTCCCCAGGACACAGACACCCCACGCTCTTAGCTTTTGCCAGCGAGACAAGGAAAGAGAGCTGGGGACTTCTGGAGAGCGCAGCAAGTGAGGGCAGCTTCCCTCCACGGGGACGGTGGTGGCTCTCCATGGTCAGTCCCCAGCACGGAGCCAGTGTGGTGCGGGGTAAATGGCCTGGCAGAGACACCCAAGTCTCCGTCCCCTCATCGGGCAGGCTTACCTGTAGATGGGATCATGCATGACGAGCATTTTGTTCTCGTCCCAGGCCCACTCTTTTTTCTGCAATGAAATAAGCTGAAAATGAGTACGTCAGATGCTGCCCTTGAGATCAAGGACAGGGCAGAGAGAGGCCAGGGACAGACCTGGGAAGTTCTTGTCACACAGCTCTGCTGCTGCTCCCCTGCAACCCTTTGCTGAGGGCCAGGCCCTGCTGGGGACCAGTGATGTCCCACATCCCCCGCAACGGGGGCCACCAAGCCCCTTCTACACCCAGGACTGGCTCAGCCACCCTGTGGGAACACGGCTTCCCCGTGACTGATCCCAGCCCATCCCTCCCTCTCCCAGCCCACCAGTTTCTCAGAAATTCAAGGACACTGCAGGTCCCTGTGCCGCGAGGGGAGGGCTCCTGCTGCCGAGGCACCACTGCCCCAGGGACCAGGGCTGCCTACCTTCTTCTTCTTCTTCAGAATGACCTTCACGCCATCCACTGACACAATGAGACTCACTTTCTTCTTCTTGATATTCTTGGCTTTAAACTCATACTGCGGGGGATGGAAGAGAACACCTGAATTAGCTTTCCTGTGCCAGGAAAGCCCCAGGGAGGGATGAAGAGGCTCCAATGGGAAGGGGCAAGAGCAACAGGGAAAGGTTTCCCCAACCCCACATGCCTCCCTGAGCACATGCCCTGCACATCCAAGCTAGGACAGGACAGGGGGCCTTTCTGTCCCGCAGCGTCCCCATGCCCAGCATCCAGAGGAGCACATCCCAAAGCAATTCGGCCTCTGAATGTGGACAATGCTTTGCTCAGCACAGGATGCTGCTGGAAATGTTAACTTGTGTTTCAAAGGCACTTGCTCTGCCCCTCCGAAGGGTCGCACCTCCTCGGAGAGGGACCACCACCTTCCCAGCCCTGCCAGCCCCCGGGGCTCCACAGCCCGGCTGGGTTTTGCCCTGCTGGCTTGTGGCCATTGCTGAGCTCTGGTAAGGGAAATGGCATTTCAAGTGGGGTTTTTTCTGGGCTCAGTATAAAATGGAAGATGATTGCTGAGGACTCTGTGAGCCTCTCCAGAGAGGATGGGGTAACGCAATTACCCACTTCAATTACAAGTCACTGGACATGAAAAAAAAAACAACAGGAACTTCCAAAGATCAGTGACTAAACACAAAGCTCTGGTTCGGCCCTGGGAGAGAATGAAATCCCCCCAAATCCAGCCACTTTTGCATTTAAAGTCTTACAAGCAGGGAGGGAGGCTGGTGGGTGAAAAGGCTAGATGAGCCATTTAGGCTGGGCAACCTCCTGCTGTGGGACTTTGGGGGAGTCCCATAAGCGGTCTACCAGGGGTGCACCCACATCAGGTACCCGGTGTGCTGGTCCCACATGCAGAGTGCTGTGTGCAGCCGTGGGCACAGATCCCCTGTGCCCAGCCAGCAGCAGAGAAGCCCTGCAACCTGCACCTTGCACACCCGAGGAAGAGGAATTGAATTGCTCCTTTCACTATTTCGCCAGTGTCTCTGCAGAGGGAGCACAGGGCAGGTGCCCCGATGCAAAGCCCTGCCTCCAGTCCACGCCGAGCCTTGGTGTGACATTTCCAGCACTGCATGATGTATTAACTTTGGCAGCCAGAGCCAGCGGGTGGGAAAAGCTGCTGGCCCTGACCTGTGATTGAATGATAAAAAGACCTGAAAATACAATTCCTCAAAGCCATTTTTAACATCACTGATGGGGATGGGAGATACAGATGACTCAGAAAACAGCGGCGGGACCGGGGCGGGGAGCGCAGCTCTGCCCTCCCCAGTGCACAGACCAGGCAAGTGTGGAAGCCCACCCACTCTGGGGCTGAAGCCACGGTGATGGGCTGGAGAAAGCAGAGCTCAGGCTCCCACCATGGCTACAGCCAGCCTCAGAATCCCCAGCACATACTCATATGCTGCTTGCAGGGCTTATTCCTCATGGAGACAGGTCTCATCAGAGTCCCTCACCAAAGAGCCCGCCGGGGTGGGTTTCCAAGTCCCATTTCTCACATTCCCCATCCCCATTGTTACAAGTAGAGATGAAACTGCATCCAACAGCCTCCTCTCTGTGCCCTGCTAAGACACCAGACCAGTACCAGAGATCACTGCAGTGTGCCTGGTACCTAACGCTACAGAAGTGTCTTGAGTTAGCCCTGAAAAGGTGAGCTTCAGCCCAGCTACCTTAGAGTAATTAACCCAGCACCTTCTGAAGCTCTGCATGCGATTTTCACAGGAGCCGTGGGCTGAGCTGGATACTCCTTGCGGCTCCCAGAGCAACTGCATGGCACCTTGTGGAGCTGCAGCTTGATTTATTGGTCCTAACCATCATTGATTATAAGCATCAAGTTGCATTTCCAAGCTGCTAGAGCCCAAGGCCACCCCAAGTGCTAATTAACATGGGCTTGGAAGAGACATCAACCCTGAAAAATATCTCAGGGTTAGAAAGACTATTTTTATCCTGTTTTTTGGGTGAGTAACAGCCCCAAGACAGAAATGCAGACAGGCCAGGTCATTTCAGCAATGATGCTACCCAGCCCCAGCATTTGTTTCACAGATGGAATCAATGCACAGCTCCTCAGAGAGGTTCTGCAACCCCAAGCTGCAGGCAGGGGATTCTGCCCAGGCTCACCCGGAGCCTGGCCGAGGGTAATGCCATGGGGAAAGCTGTTTTGCCTCTACCACGCTGAAGCCAAACTCCCCTCATGCTGATGGCTCGCAGCAAAACTCCAGCAAGAACTGATGGGAGCAAAGAAGTCAAATTCTCAGAAGGGCCAACCAGCCAGATTTGTTAAGCCCTCGCGTAAATCCAGGTCTTTATCCCGATGTCAAGCCAAGCGCCAAGCTCCTTTGCAAGTCTGAGCCATGCCCTTAGAAAGCTATTGCACACCCTGCCCCAGCTAGAGCTCGTTAGCACAATCACACCAACGAGTGCAGACACTGGTTGGGATACATTTCCCATGCAACAAAGCACAGCCCTAGCCAATAAAACACTAATGAACTCATGCCTACTGGGGCTCTAATGAAACACTAACCATAATTTAATAACAAATTAGAGAGGAAGAGGATTCAATAAAACGGCAATTCAGCCTAGCTGCCTCTCACATCCCTGGGCTGCGCAGGGCAGGCATGCTGAGTCCCTTGGCCAGGAGATGCACCACTGATTTCGGGTGGCTTTCAAACCTGAGTTTGAGCAAATAGGTGCAAAATGGAAGGAAAAGCACTGAGGAGAGAGTGGCAGAAGACCAAGCAGAGAGGGAGCAGGTCTGTAGAGCTTGGCACACTGTTCGTGTGCTGCTATCCTCGCGTGCAATTTGCTCTGCCTTGTTCACAAGGCTAATTCAGCAGACCAGCGGGATTTTACCCCAAGCAGCAGCTCTGGCTAGGGTCAACGGGAGCAAACATTAGGTATGTGCAGTTCCTCTAAGTGAGATCTGAGCCACAGAGACTGTAAGGGGTGAACTCAAAACCGTGCAGGGCAGAATTTGTGCTCAGACCTGCCGGCTCATGGTGCAGTGACAGCAGCTGCCCCGCTCAGCCCCCTGCCGTGCTGGGATGCAGCTCGCTGGCCGCAGCAGGAGAAAGGCACATCTCGCCACAAGTCCTTGCACACCCCAGCAAGCCCCTGCAGCTCTCGGAAGGCAGTGGCTGATGGTGGCAGTCAGCCTGAGGCCCCAGCCCAGGAGCAGTACCCGGGGCTCAGCTGGGTGCCCTAGGGGCACCCTGGCCCTCCCCAGCCCGGGAGGGCTAGCTGGTCCTGCGCCACCTCCTTGGACTTCTCCAAAGCAATGGCAAATCCCTTCTGTTAGCAGACTACAGATGCCAGTATGGGCTTTTTGGTCCTGACGACTGCTGGGCATCTCAGACAGTCTCACCAATGTGCTGCATGTCGACAGGACCTGCCCTTGCTAACAGCTGCCCTGCAAGCCCATTTACTTCATGGGTTCATGGAAAACCTCTCTCTGTATGATTGATCAGGACCTCTCTGGCTTGGAGTTATTCTTGACCACAGCTCTGTCTGCCCTGGGCACAGAGATCTGCCGGGTCTGCCCATGACTGTCAACATCCCTCCTTCTGCTGTGAAACAGAGAGAGAAAGCTTAAAGAGAGACGAGAAGCATTAAGGTTTTTGTTTCTCTGTTGCTGGGAGGAGAGCAGAGGTGATGGCAGGGTTGGAAACACCACCAACCAAAGGGACTCTGAGATGCTCTGCACAGTCACAGCAACTGCCACTTCATCCAAAACCAGTGAGCACTGGCCGACTCGGAGGAGAAGACAACCTGCGTATTTCCAGGGACGTTGGACCAATGCCATACAACCGTTGCTGGGAATACACCCTGCAGCCACAAAAGTGCGCTAAAAATCACACCATCGCTGCTAACTGGCTTCTCACTGAGCCTGTACAGAACTGAGTGAGTGGCAAAGCAAAAGTGGGGTTTCTCAAAGCCGCCAGCAAGGGACCTGCTTTGCTGCTGGGAGGGGACAGGGATGCTCAGGGGGAGCAATAGGAGTGCCCCTGTAACCCAGTGACAGCAATTCACCTCGTGCTCTCTGGATACGGTGTTTTGATTTTAGGTGACTGCTTCAGGGGAAAACCCACATTTCCCTTCCTTGTGGGAACTCGGCTACTGATGGCTCCAGTTCGGAGAGGTGAATCCCAGCCTACTGTTTAATAAATAAATGGTACAGAAATAATTATCCAGCTTGGGATCAAGGAAGGAAGGAGGATATGTGCAATTTCTCCATGATCCCCTTTGGTTTCACACCACGTAGCATTTCACTGTATTACTTATAACTAACTAAACGGTGTAATGGTCACAAGAACTTTCTTGGCCTTTAGCCCAGGCAGTTTGCCCATCTTGGGCATGATTCTGGATCTTTAAGTATCTGTAATAATACCATGAGTTTAGCTTAATGATATTAATTACTGTCTACAGCAATGTGACAATCCCAAAAGATGGATAAGAAATAATTTCAGGGAAATGCAGAGAAAATGGAAAGAACAACAGAGAAACCCGTCTGTTCCCAGACTTGCACAGCTCCACAGTCAGTTTCCAACTGAAGCTCAAAGCCCTCTACTAAAATCTTTAAGCAAAGATTGAAAATGGACATTTCAGATATGCCAAAGCTGAAAACTAAAGATGTTCAAGAAAAAAAAAAAAAGTAAAGGTGGTCTTACTAATGAAAAAGAAGTATTAGATCACTTGCAAACTCCAACCAGCTAATTAGTGAGTAAAGATTATCCCTTAATTTTACACTGCCCACAAAAACACACGTTCATTGTCTCAATTAGAAAAAAGACATGTATTTTGTCAGAGCACAAAAGCCTTACCATTGACCTCTGGTTAGTGGGAGTCTATTTTCAACATCTGTCTTCTATGCAAAGTTCACTATTTAAAAAACTTTAGATGGAAAATAATGCCAGCTGGTGTATGCATCATTGCGCAACACATTCCTACCCGCAGAGTATTAAAATTGCCCTTTCTGGAGAACAGAGTAACATATGTTGCTTAATAGAGAGCGCATGTAACTGT